AACTATATAACGCATTTGTAAAATTAATAAAGATTAATGGGAAGCAAAAAACGAGCAATCTTATGTAATATACAATTCCGCGACAAGTATTGCGAAATTATCAATTTATTATTTATAAAAATGACATACCTCCGTCACATCATCCATCGTGATATCTACGTCAAATGTAATTTCCATATCGTGATTGGGAAATGTAGCTTGGTTGCTGCCAACACCTATCGGGCCCAAACCGCATAAAGCTCCGGTATAATAAGTTTTGCGAGAATTGCATCTCAATTCCACACACGGTGCAAAAATTAGTGCGAGCAATGCCGCAAGTCCAGGAATATTTGACAGAAGAGTCGTATTTTTCAACGTTAGACAATCTTGAATAGTTTTATTAACGTTTTGAGCGACCAAAAGACGTCTCGATTGATTGAGATTGTTATCTAAAAGGACAGCATTGACAGAATTCTTTTCCACAATTATCTTTCGCGATTTTTCACCCAACGTCAACTGGATCAACTCCATTTCTAAAGGAGAATATGGACCTTGGAGTTTTACGCTAGAATTGCAATTCTCTTCTCTAGGTGGTTCGGGATACTATAAAAGTATAAAATTAATTGATTTTTCAACAAATGGTTACCATAAATATTCATACAAATTCCAACTACTCTACGTACTTTTAACAAACTATATTTGTCATATTGTTGTTCTTCGTAAAACTGTTTTTGCTCTGTCGACATATTGTTAATCACATATGAATCTATCCTTAATTCATGATTACACTTTGAAAAATAGGTTTCTTCCCTCTTTACAGCATATCCTTCTTCAATCAAACCCTGATTAACATTAAATCTTTCTCCTTTCTTATTAACCACAATCAATTTCAAGTTGATAACGCTATCAACAACCGAATAAATTTCTCCAAATATTTTTTCGTTTTCCTTGATTTGTGCCACAAAATAATTTCTCGATCTTTTCGACCATTGGTGAACATTACTTTGATTTGAAGGTCGCACAAAAGCCAAATTGCAAGAAAATGCCAGAGGAGGAATATTTAAGATTGTAGAATCATTAATTTCTCGTAAATCACTTAATTTTACTCTAGAAAAACGACCGTGATCAATCAAGAAAACGTCGACCATTTCTTCATCTTCTGAGACGAAATTTGTAATTCTGGCACGATGATAAGTCCAAAATTTTCCCATTTTTATAGGGGCAGCGATTACGTTTGACAATTGTGGATTTGAGAGAAATTTTTTCATAGAAAAATCGTTGAAATACTTTTTTATTTTTTGCAAACTGTTACGAATGGCATCGTCGTCAAGAGTTGCCCAGAAATGTCCAGGACTAACAATCTAAAAATATTACGTGTATATATCAATAAATATATATATGTGTGTGTGTGTGTATTTATATGAACGTACAAAGAAATAAATGTTTAATTAATAGAGAAAAGATAAAAGTTTTATTATGCTAGTAATTGAATGAGCAATGCATCTATTAATTATTGTAGCAGACAGTAAGATACAACGTACACACGAATTCAATGTAT